ATTCATCTTCTACTTCCACTCTTGCTCTTATCATATTTGATCCTGCAGAAGCCAACACTATCTTTCCCTCTTCGTCCCAAACTCTCTCTTCTGCACCTAGTCCTGTCAATCCCACTTCATCTCAACCTTTTATCAACCCTTTAAATGTTCATCCTATGCAAACCAGAGCTAAAAGAGGCATTACACTTCCCTGACTTCATCCCACCCTGTTACTTACATATATGGAACCAACATCAGTTGACCAAGCTTTGGATGCTCCTAACTGGTTTCAGGCAATGTAGGAAGAGTATCAGGCTCTGCTGAGAAATCAGACCTAGACATTGGTAAAGTCATCTGGTTCTAGGAAGCCCATTGACTGCATTGACTGCAAATGGATATTTAGGTTAAAACAGAATCCTGATGGTTCCATAAACAAATACAAGGCCATGTTGGTGGCTAAAGGGTTTCATCAAAAGGCTGAAAGTGATTTCACTGAAACATTCTCACCTATGGTTAAGCCTGTAACAGTCAGGATTATGTTAACTCTTGCAGTCACCAATAACTGGACTATTCAGCAAATTGATGTTAATAATGCCTTTCTAAATGGCACCCTTGAGAAGGAAGTTTTCATGCAACAACCTCCTGGGTTTGAAGTAGCTGATAAGTCTCTTGTGTGCAGGTTGAACAAAGCTATCTATGGGTTAAAACAGGCTCCCAGGGTTTGGTTTGACAAACTTAAGAGTGCTCTTATTCAGCATGGGTTTCAGGCTAGCAGGTGTGATACAAGCCTATTTTTGCTTAATCATGGCAGTCTACAGATCATGATCCTTGTCTATGTTGATGATATAATCATCACAAGCAATTTTGCCTCATTTATAGAGTCTTTGATTAAGCATCTCAATGACAAATTCTCTTTAAAGCAGTTGGGCAAGCTCGATTATTTCTTAGGCATTGAGGTCACCCACCTGTCTAATGGGTCCTTACTTTCTCAAACAAAGTATATCACTGACTTACTGGCCAAGGTGAACATGCTGAATGCAAATAGCATGCCTACTCCTATGATTTCAAGCAGTAAGCTCTCCAAAATAGGTTCTACTGCAATAGATGATCCTACCTAGTTCAGATCAGTTGTTGGTGCTCTGCAGTATGCAACATTAACTAGACCTCAAATCTCATTTTCTGTTAACAAAGTTTGCCAGTTTCTGTCCAATCCCTTGAAGGAACATTGGAAGGCAGTTAAAAGAATTTTAAGATATTTAAGTGGCACTCTTCAGCATGGCCTTCTTATTCAACCTGCCTCTACTCAACAGCCATTGCAGTTGTTAGGGTTTTGCGATGCTGACTGGGCAGACCCTGATGACAGAAGGTCCACTTCAGGAGCATGTGTTTTTCTAGGCCTTAATGTGGTATCTTGGTGGTCTAAAAAGCAGTAGCTTGTAGCACGGTCCAGTGCAGAAGCAGAGTACTGCAGTATGGCTCAGTTGGTTGCTGAACTAATCTGGATTCAGTCTCTACTTATGGAACTAGACTGTCCTTTCGAGGTGCCTAATATTTTGTGTGACAATTTGAGTACAATCACTCTTGCTCACAATCCTGTTCTTCACAACAGGATCAAACATATGGAGCTAGACATTTTCTTTGTGCGTGAGAAAGTCCTCATCAAGAGTCTTACTGTAGCACATGTTCCAGCTCAGGATCAATGGGCTGATGCCTTGACCAAACCTCTGTCTGCAGCAAAATTTGTGCCTCTGCGTGCCAAGCTCAGAGTGTTCAACAAGAGTGACTTGTCAAGCACACTCCTAGCTTCTAAGGGGGAATGATAGATGTAGTGTAAATAGAGATTAGTTTCAATTGTTATAAATTATGAGCTGTACAAGTTAGTTATACTGTATTAGTTTGTTACAGTTAGTTACAGCTCCTACTCTATATATATAGAGTTCATTGTATCATTCTATTCAAGAAATGAAATGAGAGTTTCACAAACTATTCTCTCTTTATGCATTATGAACTTCTATCAATGAGGAATATTGAATTAGGAGAGACTAAGACATTTAGGTTAAACCGTGTGTTTTGAAAAACACTACGGGGACTTTATTATATATAGAGAGATTGCAACTAATGCTATGATATAGTCGATGTGTGTGTGTTAATTGATCATTCGAGTTGACAAAGCTTGTGGTGATGTCGCCTGAATCGATCTTCTCTCTGACAAAGTGGCAGTCAATCTCAATATGTTTGGTCCGCTCATGGAAGACCGGATTTGAAGCAATGTGCAATGCAACTTGATTATCACAAATAAGTGTCATTGGTCTTGCTTCTTCAATTTTAAGTTCCTTGAGCAACTGTTTTAACCAAACAAGTTCACATGATGCCATCGCCATGACTCTACTCTGTCTCAGCGCTTGATCTCGCAGCTACATTTTGTTTCTTACTTTTCCAAGATATAAGGTTTCCTCCAACAAGTACACAATACCCAGAGGTGGATTGTCTATCAATTGGTGATCCTACCCAATCAACGTCGGAGTATCCAACTATCTGAGTATGTCCTTTATCTTCATACACTAAACCTTTTTCTGGAGCAGATTTGATGTATCTCAAAATCTGGATAATAGCATCCATGTGTTTATGACAAGGGGAATTTAGGAACTGACTTACTACACTGACTGCAAAAGAAATGTCTGGACGAGTGACTGTGAGATAATTCAACTTTCCAACCAACCTTCTATACCTTCCTGAGTCTGATAGAGGCTCCCCTTGATTGGGTAGTAGTTTGACACTTGGATCCATAGCAGTATCAACTGGTTTAGCGTTCAACAAACCTGTTTCTTCCAAAATATCCATAGCATATTTCCGCTAAGAAATCACCAAACCATCTTTAGATTGGGCTACCTCAATATCCAAGAAATATCGAAATTTACCAAGATCTTTTGTCTGAAATTGATTCGAGAGATGTTGTTTCAACTGGAGTATTCCCTGCTCATCACTACCAGTTATGACAATGTCATTTACATACACAATAAGATAAATACATCCTTGGGCTGAGTGACGATAAAAGACGGAATTGTCAGCTTCACTACGGGCCATACCAAATTGTTGTACTACAGTGCTGAATCTGCCAAATCAAACTCTCGGAGATTGTTTAAGACCATAAAGAGACCTGTGTAACCTACAAACCATATTCGATGACTCCCCCTGAGTAACAAACCCAGGTGGTTGCTCCATATATACTTCATCTTTAAGATCACCATGTAAAAATACATTTTTGATGTCAAGTTGATGAAGAGGTCAATGTCGAATGGTTGCAATGGCTAGAAGAAGTCTAACAGATGCCATCTTGGCTCTGATACCATCTTAGAATGTGTGGGTTGAGCCTAACTCAATCCTACAAAACCGGCTTGTAAGGTGATGATTACTCCCACTTATAAACTCATCTTCAGGCTATATATTGTCCGATGTGAGACTCTTAACACCACCTCTCACACCCAGGAATTAGGGCTGGAGCGTGGAACTAAATGGTGGGTGGCCCAATGGATCTTAGATGAGGCTCTGATACCATATTGAATTAGGAGAGACTAAGAGATATATATATATATATATATATATATATATATATATATATATATATATATATATATATATATATATATATATATATATATATATATATATATATATAACAAGGAACATGCCAGGGTAAAGTGTATAATTTGCCCTGTAATAACCTTGAATCCTGATTTATTCAACAAGTTCATAATATTCAATTACCAGATCTGTTGTTTATTTTCCCGTAAATCCTTAGTGGGAAAACCTTTGAATATTCATCCTAAGTCCTTAGAGAATTATGATGAAATTAAGCATTTGTTTTATCAAGGTTTAACCGGTAACTATAGGATATCCCTAGTCCTAGGTGATATCTACTATAGTCTAATTGTACAAAAACCTTAACAACCGCGGTCCAGCTGATTGTTAATCGTATATCAATCCTTGTTGGTCCGACATGGAAAACATTAAAAATATTGAACGATCAAATTGAATATGAAAAACTATTGCATTTAAGGAAATTCGAACTCAAAGTCGTTTACAGAATCAAATCAGGGACACCCCCTAGCTTTGGGGGGTTTAGCTACTCACATTGTTCAAAAGAATTTCAATAACATAAAAGTTAGACATTACAGATAAATGATGAACTTTGATCTTCAATTACGTTGGCTCATGAAAAATCTATGTCCTCCACTAATCTCATATGTTGCTCTCTTCAATCGTCAAAATTCTCCGCGGGCAAAAGTCCCCTAATTCATCGTGAAAACTCATCTAAATAGTGAAAATCCATTGGTCTTGGTCGAAAATGCCCAAAATGCCCCTACGGGTCACACTTAGTGAAAAATCACAAAAACAAGAAAAATCAGCGTCACTGGCCAACACGACCCGTGTCAGGTGACACGGCCGCCCGTGTTGGCCCTCTGAGTTATATTTTATTTTTTCCAAGTCCCAGATTTGTTGACACGGCCTGTGTCAGCTGACACGGGTGGCCGTGTCAGCCCCTGACTTTCACTTTTTTGCGTTTTCTTGGCACAACTTCATCCTGTAACATGAATTTTTACTTCCTCCGAAATGCTGACTTTTGCACTTTTTCGCCCTGGATCGTCCCGATTTATTCCTCCGAGCCTAAAAACACTAAAACACACAACCAATGCATAAAATATGGAGAAATGAAATAAAATGCTTCACAATATAAAGAAAAAGATATCTAAAATCAATGTTAAATAACTGTGTAAAAACCACTGATCAATAGTTGAGTAGGATCTTTCGATCTTAGTTACATTCTTATATTTTACGATCTTACCATCCCCTCCCGATCTTATGCAAGATCCCGATTTTGACAACGTTGGAGCTGACAAAGTGGTGTTTTTAATTTTCTTCCTCCGAGAATCTTTTTCAATTTAATGCCATAAAAGTTTATTTTATGAACTAATATATGATTTAACTGTGGTATGCATTCATGAACAATAAATTATATGCAGGATACATGCCTTCTGATCTTTACAACTTGAATTCATCATATGGTTCTAAGGAAGAACTAAAACATTGTATAGAGGAATTGCATTCTCAAGATCTGCTGGTATGTTGTGCTGGTAATGACATAAAAAAGGAATATTTGAAGATGTATTTCGAGCAATTATTTTCTTCAAAATTTACAATAATCTCAAACTTTATGGCTTTGGGACATCCAAAAGTAACTATCTTCTTTTTATTTTATTTTAAATAGTATAAAGAATAACATTTCTTATGTGAATAAGAACTTCTTTGTTAAATTATGTGGTTTGAATCACTAATAACGAAACTGATCTGAATAATCATGGAATTAATTGAAGTCATTATTTTAAAATATTAGGTGGTAGGAGGAATTAGAAGTATTCAAAGCCTTATTTTATGAGACTTAAAGAGAGTAGTTAAGCACCTTTTTCTTGTGTAAAAATGCAGCAAACATTTCAGTTAGTGCATAATGCTGCAAAGAATTCGTTTTGACGATTTTACTTGATTACATTTGTATGTAAGGGATTATATATTTTTATTATCAGTTTCCTAGTTGTCTCTTCTTACTGTTTGACTTCTTATGCATACATATTTTTGTACTATGTTTTAACTTTTATGCTTGGTATGGTTCTAATTTTTGTAAGATGTTTCCTTTGTAAATAGGTCTTGGGAGATGTTGTACTCAATCATCGATGTGCACATAAACAGGTAAATTATTGTCAGAAAGCTTGGGCCACTGACTAACGCTTTGTTAGCGAGTTTAGAGGGAAGGGTAATGGAGGGCTTTGGAGAAAGAGGAGTAGATGGGAAAATAGTGAAGTCTTTTCCATTTTCTGAGAGTGTATTCACTACAAATTTTGTTGTGAATAATAAATGAATGTTTATCGTTAATATAATTTTTATTTTAAGAGTATTTCAACTACTTAGATTGAATTTGAAGAATTTATTTAAATCCTTCTTCAATACAATCTCTAAAATCCTCCCAAAATGGGAGAACTCAAAAATTGCATTGGAGGACTTTGAAGGGTTTTGGAGGGCTTTGATAAATTATTCAAATTCAATCTATGTTGTTATATTTCTCTAATATTAATATATTAATCACAAGAATTCATTTATCTTTTTACACAAATATTCTTTTAATAAAGTTAATTTTTTTAATCTATTTTTCCCTCTACTCCTCTTCCTCCAAAGCCTTTCCTTCCTCTTCCCCTCTAATCTCCCAAACAGAGCCTAAGGGTTTAAGCTTTGAGGATATTATGGTTGTTCGCAGAGTCGTGGAAATTCTGCCTTGATGCAGTTTCACCCTAGCCCTATTAATTATGGAAAATATAGTCTGCCTTCATTGCAACCTCCAACACCTTCATTTTGCTGGGTGTAGGGGATTAGTTTCACATATCCTAGAGATATGACATATGTAGTGCTTATAAGGCTTGGACAATGGACAATCCTCACCTTACAAGCGAATTTTGAAAGTATGAGTTAGGTCCAATTCAAAACCTAAGATTATATCAAAACCTGTCTTTGATCCGCTGTCGGGTTTTCTACATTGTCCATGCTCCAGACCTATTGCGCCTGACACGAGGGGGTGTTGGAAATGGAAATGCAGAAATACTTAATTATTATGGGCAACGTGTATTTGAAGGCGCTGCTTATCCTATAATTTCTTTGATCTTGGATTCATAGTATCATTTACTTTTAATATCAAACTGTAGCTTATGGAAACTATAGTTGGGGCAATCTCTTTAAGAGGTGCATTTCATAATATATGCTATTAAATGACTATTATAGAAAATAAGAACAACAATTTTTTACTTGTTTTAGAGTCCAAATGGTGTTTGGAACATTTTCGGTGGTAAGCTAGCATGGGGACCTGAAGCAATTGTATGTGACGATCCGAATTTTCAGGGGCGTGGAAATCCTTCAAGTGGTATATTTATATTTTTGTATACATAGCAGACATGCTATTTATATTTATATTTATATTTGTGTATACATAGCAAGACATTGGAGACTTTTCGAGGCTGTTCCTGTCTTTTCTATTTATAAAATATTCATTAGAAAGTATTCATTAGAAGGTATATTTTTTAAAGTTACCCGTGCATTAAATACTGCACTTTTCAATAAATACTTTCCAGGTCTTAATTCCTTAACCAATATACCTTATAGACACTAGTTAACTGGACCTTCAAATGAAGGTGAAGAAAAATCTCAAGTATCTGATAGTTTGCTTCCCGTGTCATATTCACCCGAGTTGGAAGGCATAAATGCGGCACCCCTTTTCCACAGAATGGAAAAATACAGTGTTTTATTACCTATGACATTGATGATTTTGGGGTTTTCCTTATCTAGACACTTTTTTATTGGTATACGTAGGGGATATTTTCCATGCTGCACCAAATGTTGACCATTCTCAAGACTTTGTGCGGAAAGATATCAAGGAATGGTTGAACTGGCTTCGCAATGATATAGGGTTTGATGGATGGCGGCTTGACTTTGTAAAGTAATACTTTTCATGCTAAAGTATACTTTTCTCTGGTGTATTATTCTTTAAGGGAACTTGCGTAAAAATAATTTTTTCATAAATTTAAGTTGCACTCTGATAATGAAGTTGCACTCTGTCTTCATATCTCATATCAATGTTGTTGAGTGGGTCTGTTTCTTTTCCAAACATATGGATGATATGTTAAAAAGAGCCTAACATCTGAAATGTTTTAGTGATATATGTTTGCATGCAATGGTTATTTAGTTTTAAATTTAATCATGTGGAGTTTTGGAAGATATTGTTGATGTTTTTGTTCCGTAGCTAATTCTAATGTAAAGTTTGGTAACTCCTTATTTGCTTCACACAGGGGCTTCTCTGGCACTTATGTTAAAGAATATATTGAAGCATCAAAACCTGCATTTTCCATTGGAGAATATTGGGACAGTTTAGCTTATGAACAAGGAAGTTTGTGCTACAACCAAGGTTATTATTTACTCTCCATGTTTGGATTGACGATGAGATTGACAGAATCACGGTCAGTCACCACGATTTTGACAAAAACCACACTTTAGAGCTTCAATAAAATTACGGTGTTTAAGTGATTTTGCCAAACTCACCGTCCATCCAAATATACACTTGATATTTTTTACCCTTAGTGTATCGAGGAAAGTAAAGTTTGAATCATATGTTTAAATTTATATAGTGTAGATGCTGATTTCCTGATAATATAAGCACACCCACAAGTAAAATTTACCAGTTAACTTTTTAAATGTTTCTGGTTAATAATGCGATGTACAGTGAATTTCATTTAAAGGGACAAGAAAGATAGTTATTGAGAAGGATCATTCAAATTTTAATTAGAGAAGATAGTTTAATTTTACAATAGCAATAACAACAGCCAAGCCTTATCCTATTAAGTGGGGTCGACTACATGTATCATATGACTTCATAATGTTCTATGATATATCATATTTGTATCAACTTACTAATCTCTAGATCTTTTTCGTAATAGTTTCTCTTATAGTTTTCCTAGTCTTCTGCTGCCTCTAATGATTTGACTACCTTCTATCTAATTTCCACCGCCTGTAATGATTTGTTTACCTTCTAACTAATTTACTATTCCTATGACCAAATTTACAAGTATTCTCTACATGCGCAAACACCTAACCTGAGTTTCCGCAATCTTTTCTACTATAGATATTATCCCAACTCTCACTCTAATGTTGTCATTTCTAATCTTATCCTGTCTAGTCTTATCACACATCAAATGCTACATTGACGTCATTGCTATGCTTATTTTATTCTTGTGCCAGTCTTAAAGTTGTACGTTAATATTTTCCCTTTAGCTTGAGCGGTACTTCTGCTTTGCATAAAAGACCCGAGGCCCTTCTCCATGCCCAACCACCTCGGCATCCTTAGAAACTACATTACAATGTAGTAACAATTATTTATTTACTGCAATATATTTTTAACGTAACTAATAATGCTTGAGAATATTTTGTTTACCTCTTGGAAATATTATACTGATATCGTATGTGTCCCACACTAAGTCTGATATTCTCTGCTTAATTGCTTTTTATTATAGTTTGGTTCTACTAATAAAAAATCAAATGTTTCCATCACATCCATTTTCTATAATTTTCTCTTACATGCTATTTCTAACATTTATAAATAGATGCTCATCGGCAGCGGATAGTCAATTGGATCAATGCAACTGGTGGTACTTCATCTGCATTTGATATAACTACAAAGGTACTTTTAAGAGAAATTGATAAAGTTTCCCGGTGATGTCTAATCTAGTCATCAATTTGACTGCTTGTTTTCCTTGTTTTGCAACTCTCTTTACATAAGTTTTGATTACTTTTATGCCATGAGGAGAAGACAGGGGAGTTAAAACAGAAAAATATGTCAATACGATATTGCTTGCTGCATTCTCAAGATTGTTATTCTAATGCCCTACTCTTTCCTAGGGAATACTTCATTCCGCTCTGCACAATGAATATTGGAGAATGATAGACCCTCAAGGGAAACCAACAGGAGTTATGGGATGGTGGCCTTCTCGGGCTGTCACGTTCCTAGAGAACCATGATACAGGGTCTACACAAGTATGCAATCTGTTTCTTTCTTTGTCAAAATATGATTCATTAAATATCAACATAGGTGATTATGTGGATACAACCTTGCCTTGCTAGATTAGAGAATGAAGAAAATAGATTTAAAACTTCATTTTATTTTCAGGGTCACTGGCCGTTCCCACGAGATAAGCTCATGCAGGGATATGCATATATCTTGACTCATCCTGGAACTGTAAGCTTTGAATACATTAACTTCTAATACATTCTTGGTGCATAAGTTTCATATCTAACTTTTTTTTTGCGTTTCAATTTTGTGCAGCCTGTTATATTTTATGACCATTTCTATGATTTTGGCATCCACGATGTAATAACCGAGTTGATTGAGGCGCGAAGACGGGCAGGGATCCATTGCCGAAGCTCTATCAAGATATACCATGCAAACAATGAAGGTTACGTAGCTCAAGTTGGCGATGCACTAGTAATGAAGCTTGGTCAGTTTGATTGGAATCCCTCTAAGGAGAACCGTTTGGAAGGGAGCTGGCAGAAGTTTGTTGACAAAGGATCAGACTATAAAGTGTGGTTGAGACAATAATTTAATCTAGTTCAGTAGACATAGTCAATAAAGCAAATGATAATAAAATTGAATTTTTCACTAGCATTGTTGATTTATATAAGTTATGTAAGTTAATTAGTCATATTCACTAATAAGTCATGTAAGTTAATTATTGTACCTTAACATTTACAATCCTAGTATTGGCACATGATAGTAGTGTGGAAATGACACAAACGCAGACTAGCATCACAAGTTGAATTCTTTTTCTCAAGGCTTATGCTGTGGCACATATGAAGTTTATCTGTGAATAAATTTGTTAAGACTTGTGAAACCGAAGATTGTAAAAAATTATTTTGATTTACTTATCGGGATGCATGCTTTTGTTGAATTTCTCCTCACATCCTCAAATTTAACCCTGGCACTCCATGTAATTTTATAATAACAAAAATATCCTACTCATTATTTATTTTTCAAAAATTTACATTTAGTCAAAAAAATTTACTTTGGAGAACTAACTGATAAGGCTGAATTTATGCAATTTTATTGGATATTTTAAAATTGGTACGAGTTTTTATCGATGTTTTTTTAAAATCTGATATTTTCTGAAAATTTGTTGCATTTTTATTCATATTTTTGAAAAAGTTCAACGTATTTTGGAATTTCTAGACTTCTTTATCATAATTTTTTAGAAGTCCAATATATTTTTTATATTGGATTTTTTTTTTTGAAAAACTGCTATTTTTGGAGTAACATATTTACCAAAATTTTTGAAAAATTTGATAAAGATAAAACTTTAGGATATTTTAAAAATTCTGGTATACCAGGTTTTTAGTCTAGTCTAAAAAATTTGATAGTTTAGAATATTTCTTTTGTGCGGTGGTTTACAAAGTTTTCACTATTTATTATGTATGTTGTGCTTCTATGTTTTGTTTTTAACTTATTCGGTACTTAGTAGGCTTTTGGTATCTAAGACATTGATAATTTATTTTATATATATATATATATATATATATATATATATATATATATATATATATATATATATATATATATATATATATATATATATATATATATATATATATATATATATATATATATATATATATATATATATATATCAATGATAGATTTCTCCTCCTAAGTTGACGTGTTAGCATAAACACAGTTTATTGGTAAACGACATGATATTATTGTTGTTACTATTTGTTATAACACCGTAAATAGAATCTGATGGAGGAAATATAAATTAATTATGGGTTGTGAGAGAGGAGGAAACTCCAAAAAGAAGAATTCAGATACGATTCATGTTTTTTGCGATTGCGCTATTGTCAAGCATATGTGGGATATTACAGTTCCTCAAAGTTTGAAGAATCGGTTCTATCTTGCCCATATCCAAGATTAGATTTTACTCAACATGGAGGAAGAAGGTTGATGCAACTATTGGGCTATGAGTTGCCATAACATTTGGTCTTGACGTAATAAAGAGACGCGTGAGGATGATTATAAGCGACCAGTGGACCAAACTAACAATATTAGGGGAAAGATGTTGGATTATGGTGAAGCAATGAAGGTGAATGAGATGCTGGTGGATAAGGGTCTCGTTAGTTTAAAAATGAAATGAGAGCCTCCCACTGTTAACATGGTGAAGCTCAATGTTGATGGTGTTTGTGGGATAGCTACGGGATGTGGTGGTATCATGAGAAATTTTAATGGTGTTTGACTAGGTGGCTTTTCTAAGTTTATCGAAAGATGCAACACGTTTGTGGCAGAACTATAAGGTGTTGTTGAGGGGCTTAAATTCACAGTGTCAAAAGGTTACATAAAGGTAGATTTGAATATAGATTCTTTAGAAATTATTCAAGCTATCACAGAGAGTAAGTGACATATTAGTATTAGGAGGAATTTGATTCACCAGATAAAATCCTTGTTGGACATGCATGAGAAGGTGGATATTAAGCATACTTACATGAATGCTAATAAGTGCGCCGATGAGTTAGCTAAGCTGGACAAGAGCCTTCGTGGCGATTTGGTTTTGTTTGATACTGTTTCTAGTTGCATTAGTAAGAGCTTCGAGGAAGACACTAGAGGGTAACATCCTAATAGTGGGGTGATTTTGTAGTTTGTTTCTTTGTCTCAGGCTTAGGCCCTCCATTCTACTAAAAAAAATGATTCTTTTGATGGAAATTATATTATAAAAGTTAAATGTCAGTTTAAGCTGAGATTTGTGTCAAGTAGTAGCGGTTGAAACATTATGGTTATGTGTGAGTTTCATAATTATAAACTAGTTAAGGATTTAGATGACCAAAACGTATTAGTTTGTTTAAAAGATGATGAAAGACAATTTGTGAATGACAATGACAAAATACAATATAACTCTCAAATACATAATTGGTGTTTTCAAAGATAGAGATCCCGAAAACCTTACGAGTATTACTCAGGTGTACAAAGAAAGAAATACATAGAAGACGAGCAAGAGAGGTCTGTTGATTGAAATACAACATCTTCCAAATCTTATTCATGAAGAGAAATATATGTAATAGACCAAAAATATTAACGATTCAAATATTGTTGCTGATATCTTTTGAATGTATCCTAATTCAGTGAATTTGTTAACATATTTTATTTAGTGTTGATTTTTAATTTAAAATACAAAACAAACAAATACCACATATAATATTTTCATTTATTTGATTCTGTGTTAGAAGTTTGTTGACAGAGGATCATACTATACTATCAAGGGTGGTTGAGACAATAATTTAATTCAAATTCAGTAGACATAGTGAATAAAGCAAATGATAAGAAAACTTTAAATTTTCACTAGCATTGTGTTGATTTATATTTTCATCTACATTGACATTGACATTGCCTTAGCAAGGTTCAGAACAAATGAGCTCATCTTTTCATATGAGTTGTCATATTCAATAAAAGTTATGTAGGTTAATTATTGTACCTTATCAGTCTCAGGCGTCTCATGACCGACCACCAAATTGTGCCTAATTCATCCACAAATATCATTGTAGTGAGAGATGGCTGCTTTTATACTAGTATTTGTAACATTCCAAAAGACTTGTAAGTATTACAAACTAACTTCACAAATTATGAGTTTTTTCAACATCCTTAGAATATCTACATCACTACAAAAATGGGTGTCTTCACTCTTATCAATACCATTGTATCTGGATGTTTTGGATAATTGGTCATTTAATAGATGGTATAATAAAGCCACCCTGGTTAAAGAATACCACTGTGTTTTAACTTTTTCCTTTTTTTTTTAATTTTAATTTTTGGATGAATATATAAATATTTAAAAAATATAGTTGAATGGTTTGATTTATTGAAAAATATAAAATAATATAAAAAATTAAAAAGAGTCTAATTATATTAGATATATATTAAAATAGGTGTATATTTCCAGCTGTATTTTTGTAATCGGTTTTCTGTTGAGAATCTGTTAGGCTGTTAGCTATTGGTTGAGTTAGTTGTGAAAGTTGTTACATTGACCCACTTGTAAACAGTAGTATATAGCTCTTATCTTCTGCTGTAAAAAGAATCAAGTTTTAGAAATATTACAGAATCTACACAAAGTGCAGATTGTTGAATGCAGAGTATTCTTTATCATTTTATCATGGTATCAGAGTGATCGATCCATCCTCCTTCCGCTCGTCTCTCCTCTCTTCCCGGTGGTTTCTCACTGTTTTCTGCGGCAACTCTGGTTCTTGTTCTTCATCCTCATCTCACTGCAACCATGGCGACTGATAATCAAGAACTACAAACCTCATTCACTTCCTTCTCCACTGGCAACAATGGATTTGGACCTCGACTCTCCATCAAGCTCCAAGAGAACAATTTTCTCCTTTGGAATCAACAGGTTGAAGGAATCATACTTTCTCACAAACTTCACAAATTTGTCGTGAATCTGCAGATTCCCCCAATCTTTGATTCAGAAGAAAATCGTATAGCGAACAAGGTTTCTGCTGTGTACGAATCTTGGATTGTGCAAGATCAAGTACTATTCTCATGGCTTCTCTCGACAATTTCAGAATTTGTTCTTCCAAGAGTTCTTTCCTGCAAACACTCGTATCAGATTTGGGATCAAATCCACAAGCACTTCAATGTTGTGATGAAAGTTAGGGTTCACCAGCTACACTCTGAGTTGAAAACCACCAAGAAAGGGAATAGGTCTATTTCTGAATATGTGCTACGAATTAGGGCTACCGTTGATGCACTGCTTGCTATTGGAGATCCTATCTCAGACAGAGATCAAATTGATGCCATCCTACAAGGGCTTCCGGAGGAGTACAATCCATTTGTCATGATGGCTTATGGCAAAGGTGAACTATCTTCCATTTATGATGTTGAAGCTCTCTTGTATGTCCAGGAAGCACAACTTGACAAGTGAAGGGGTAAGAAAACACTTAGAAGGGGGGGGGGGGGGTGGGGGGTTGAATAAGTGACTCTTTTTCTTTTCAAAACAAAGCTCAACAATAATGGAAGGACAAGGTTATTTTTATCCTGGTTCGTTTGAACTCAAACTACTCCAGTCCACCCGTCAAGGTGATTTTGCCTTTCTCAACAAGGACTTAATCCACTATAATCAACTGATTACAAACACACAACAACTGTTGTAACTAACAATGCACAAGTAATCTTACAAGTGACTAACACCACTAAGACTTAAATCTAGTCCTAGTCTACTTGAGAAATCTGACCAAACTTGGTCTCTCAAGGAACAATTACAAGAGTTTAATCTTTACAGATAGTGAAATAAAGTTTGCTTCTAATTAAGCTATATCACAACTGTGCTTTTTCACTTAGAATAAATTGCACAAAATGTATGAATAAAGAGTTTGTGAGCTCAAAACTTTTCACGTAGTTTCTTGCTTCTTTTTGAAATTGATTGGTTGGTTGGCTTGCAATAAATTTCCTTCTATATATAGTAAGAACAAAATGACCGTTGCCGCCTTCAAAAAGTGGAGAGCATTAAATGCTTGCGTGTTTCTTTGTACTATTCCATTTTCCAAGAACTAGCGTAGACA